CAATATTGCATTGCATATATTGTATTTATTTTCAATCATAGTTAATTGATACTCATTTTGTGCTTCGATGGCACCTCTACAGAAGAGTTAGTGTACAAAGGAGAATAATAATTTCAATTCATTTGAATCACTTTCATTGGAATCAATCATATGATATATTCTTCTATTACGTAACTAATATGGAGTATATTGAATTTCTTCAAGTTTGAAAATATCTACATTGAGAATTGGAGTTGATAGGGAGTTGATAAGAAGTTTTCGTAGACAATTATTTTTTGTCCTCAAAATTCATACCGTGCCTGTAAGATTCATCACCTTTTCATCTTATTTATACAGAAAATTTTCAATTTGAAACATTGGAGCATTTTTTGATAAAGGTTTCTAAACTCTGTCCATCACACAAAAAAATAACCCAAACAATGATAGATGCGTGATCACCAGTGGATATTCTATTGGATAAAATAAACAAGCCTCTCTACGCTGGCCAATCAGATTCAACTGCCAGCGGCTGCCGAAATTCACTCAGGTAATCGCTACAGAGTCGGAGTCGTGAGTTACGTTTTAACCCCTGTGGCATTGTCTATAGATTTATAGTCAGTCAACCTTATGGAGTTATCATTGGAGGACGATGGAAACGAAAAGTAGATGGCGCCAATACCATGGTCTCCAAAAAAGAGATAAAAGATTGAGATCACCTGTATACCAATTTTAAATTGAATCAGACCATAAATTACCTAGCTTATCCGCCATCTTGAATCTTGTAAAAATATCAAGTCTTCGACTTCAAAATATCAATTTTCAATAGAATCGTAATTAAATTACAAAACTCTTCATCTATCATGAATGTTGATAAAAATCTTTCAATTCACCAAACTCAACCTCTGTTTCTTCTATTGTAAATGTCGTTATAGCATTGTCACTCGAATTATATATCCCTGCCAAATTTCAAGAAAATTGGATAAGTGGAATTGCCTCGAAACGATATATCTCAATATCTATACTTGGTTATTATTTCAGTAAATCTGATATTTCAAACATCTGAATGCAAACTATATCTAGACTTTAATTCAGGTCAACATTATTTCATTCATAATTTTTTGTTGCACTTTCATCAATGAAAGTTTTGCTTTCCTTCCGATGAAGGCGCCACATTACGGGATACAATTTCAGAATTTCTGGTAAAAACAGTATAGGTGGCTCTGGCAACCTCCATCCAATACTTTTTACATTGTGGTTGACCGACTATAAATCCTTAGACAATGCCTGTGGTGTGTACATATACAGTATTTTAAAGTTTGAAATTATTAAAATGTCGAGTACTGATACGGCTGAATAAACGGCTAATTTGTGACCCTACAGTCCTAAAAAAATTTCCTATACCCAGCCGCATATTACAAGTTCAAGTTTTTGTACAGAGTCTGAGTGATGCATGATCATGTTTTAGAGCACTCTGTTGCTTGTATGAACAGAGTATACATTTTTCATTTTCTGTAGTTTGGGAGCGGCATAAAATCTCTTAAGTGTGAATCTGGTTCAATCATTCATTAATTGTTTCGATTCAAAAAACTCGTACACTGTATGGTGCCAGTTACACAAATTTGAACTTCAGGTAGAATTGTCAGATACTTACTGATAATGAGATGAAATGGGTTGTATATCAAGCGCCCGTCACTTTTTTCACAATAATACTAGTATTTTTCGTTTGTTACTGTTTTAAGCGCATTTAAAAAAATAATTTTTAACTTTTTAGCTCGATGTTCTTTAAAAGCGTGTTTTTTTAGTTTTTCAAACTATATTTATTTTTCATTTGAATGGGCATCTCACTGAAGAAAATATGTAAAATTTTTTCGGCATGAGTTTTCGAAGTTATTGGACGGGGTTCCATGTGGAACAAGACTTAGGATGTGGCTACAAGATATTTTAAAACTGAGGTACGGGAATACCTCAACGATCATTTCAATAAAAAATGGATAGATAGGGGTAAGCCTGTGGCGTGGCCATCCAGATCACCTGACCTGAACAAAATGAATTTATTTATGGGGGTTTGGCGAATGGATTGTCTACCAAACTCCTCCAACATCTATAGAAGACATGAAACGAAAAATCACTAGAGCTTCCAGGAAAATCCCAGAAGATATGCTGGAACGTGTAGATAATTCGTTTAAAAAGAGACTGACATTATGTGTTGCAGAAAATGGTCGCCATTTTGAATATCTTTTGGACCTCCTCTATTCAATAAAAAATTTAGGCGGTATTGTTCACATTGAAAAAATTAAGTAAGGGAACGAAAATGAATTGTTTGTGGTAACAACAATTGATAAAACTGGGTATAATTTGTAAAATATCTGTTTTTCGTATAGTATACCTCTGATAAAAAATGTAGTGAATTGTTGAAACATTTCATAGAAATGAAAAAATATAGAGTATTCCATTTGAAAAAGTTGAATTATGTCTGTTTAAAAATGAATGAAACTTGACTGGTTTTACCGAGCACCCTATATATTGTTTCCGAAAGTTGAGATTCCCGAAAGTATCATAGTGATGTTGACTAATTATTCCTTATGCAATGCCGCAGTGAAAATTCGAAAACAAAAATTCCTCAGAGAGCTAAATGACGTATTCATATACGGGGTGTTATATTCTTAAAAATAACTTTGGTTGGCCACCCAGTATGCAAGAAAATAATTTTAAAAGATAGTATTTATGGATATGACTGCGAAAACAAATTGAACAATTCGAAAAATTGTTTTCCCTGATAGCAATGGACCGAGGGAATCTTGTTGACTCACCCTGTATAGCCGCCTTCACTCTTACGAGGGCTACTCAAAAAGTAATGGTGACATTATTTGCGAAGGGTGCTTATACTGCCGTGAAAATACTCACTTGGAATCAAAAGGAAATTGAGCTTTATGACGTATTGAAATATCATTTTATACAAGTTTTAAAAATACCCAAAGTTTTTGTGTTGTCAAAAAAATAAAAATTGAATCGAAAATTCTTTGAATGTTGTTAAACAGATCTCAAACGAGCAAATTCACCGTTTCAAATGTGAAAAGTTAACTGTATATGAAACAGATAAAAGTATGATGAACCATAAGTAGGTGACACACAGCATCGACTCCTTAAATGACTCCATACCTTGAGCCTAGTTTTCATAAGGTATATAATAATATATCGACTATTCACTTGACTCTAATGTGATTTTCCAGATCTGAACTTCTATAAGACAAAATTAAAAGCGAACAGTTTTTGTTATGTCATCAATATTCTATTTGATGACGATGATGCTGTAGATTCCCTCAAATTGAAACATTGAATTCCACGTTGAAACCTAGATAATTTCCCAAACATATTCATAACATAAGAACAAGTCAGAAACCTTGATCACAAAGTCAAGTCAAATTATGTATATTGGATATTGGCTATAAGGAGAAAATAATTTATGAAAGTTTTAATGATTGTATTGATATCGATCAAAACGACAGACTTAGATAGAAAAAGACCTAAACTGAAAAAAATGGTTTTGACGTCATTCAGCTATTACACTACGAACAGAAACCTTATGAGCCTTGAAAACATTTGTGCAAGCGAAGAATCACTCTCTTCAAAGTGCAATTCCGGTGCACGGGTTAGTAGATATGCAGTAAACACACTGAGCAACCTACATAACGTACTCGCTTAGAGCGTGTCGTATTTAGTCCATTTAGCCCCAGAGTAAGGACTAAAGCCACCTTCACAATAGCGGTTGTTTCATGAGTGGAAATCACTAACCAAACTCACCAATTGAGCAGAGGAAATATAAGTAATAGAGATTAGCACAATGAAAAATTTTAGATGTGTGAGAAAAAAAATTGTGGGAGTAGAAGACACTTCTGAGTCGAAATTAAAGAAGATAAGGAACATACTTATTGTTGTGAATTATGAATACTCATAAGAAAGTTACTGCTGGAGTTTAGGAAAATCGAAAAACATTTTAAAATGAATCTAACATGAACGACAAATTACAGAATTAGCATTTGAATGAAATTCATATGAGGATATATTCAACTTGACAATAGCATTATTATGAATTGTACATATATACTTCAGGAAAAAACAATAACGAATTTGAAATAAATATATGCTTCCTTTCAAACATACATTTTGAATGACGAATCGGGACTTTCTCTGATCCCTCTCTCGAATTCTTAAAGGAGACTTCTGAACATTTCACATTGCGAAACTGTCAATTTAATGTCTTTCGGAAAAAAAATTATTTGATAATTGTGATAGAGACCTTTATTATGACGATACTGAAAGGTAACACATAATTTTTTTCATAATAGACATTTCAGATTGTCGATAACAAAACAGTTTATTTTTCTGTCCTTAGATGAAAATAAAACTGAACTTCGCCTTTTATTTCCATGCCATGAAATTTTCATTGTATAAAACTGTTATTAACTTACTAGTGGAGATAATAAAGATGAATTATTATTATTATTATTATTATTTTGTATCTAACGATTTTAGATTTATTAAAGATTTATCTAAAGTACATTCCATGATTTTTTTATGAATACTGGATTATTTGGGGAAGTCTGTTTTCAAATTGTCACAGTGTATAGGTGGTGAAATTTTCATGATGACTTTTCGTAATCGGTTTATCCATGTATGTTGTGGCTCACCGTGGAGTTTTTTATTATCTTTAGAGGAATTTATAGTCACTAGTTCATTATTTGGTTTTCATGTCACTTGAAATGTCTTCTCTAACTGAAAAAATCTCCATTCAGTTCATGTATGTGTTTGGTCAGCCTAGAAGTTATATCATCTTGAATGAACCTTTTAAAAAATGTGCTATATTTGCTAGAATTTTGAATAATGTGAACAAAATCATGGAGAACTAAAATCCAAACGATCTTTAGGTATATTCTACTAGAAACAATTCACGTCTCAGGTCACACAACTTCCTTATGAAAACTAGGCTTTAAAGTACTGTGCTACAAGTGTTTGGGGCTAACCTCTGCCGTGGAAGGAAGCCCTGTGATTTAGAAGGGTACAAGGTGCATGCCGGCTATCTCCTGCAGAATCAATGAGAGATGGATGAAGTCTTCCGCCAGACGTAGGCCAATCGCCAAGCGGTGGGCCCGGCAAAAAGCCAGCAACTGCCATAGCTTGCGCTTGAGCTAGTTTTAGCCCGCTTGCAATGCGACTAAAGCTCGGTGCTTGCTGCACAGATGTTGGCGTAGGAGTCATGCAACCGGCCCCTAGGTTCCCCAGTCCAAGGCGCACGCGTCGCGGAGGTGGAGTTGGGGGCATCAGCTCCGTGTTGTCACCCTGCAGACTAGCAAACACAACATCACCAAAAATGAGTTAGCGATAGAATGAAAACAATTACACTGGTTAAAAAAAAATCAAAACAGGCACAAAGTCACACCAGCTCGCGCTTACCCTTGTAGCTAGGGTGCAGGTAGCCAGATTTACTGAAAAATGACAATTACTTGGTCATTCCTTTCCAACATATCTCTGATTCTTTAATAAATGACGATAAAAAATTCCTTGGCACTTCTCGCAAAGTCTTATTATCTCAGAAGTATAGTGATTTCATCATAAATGTGAGTATAGTGTATATTCAATAGATTTAGGAAGAGATAATGAGAAAAAACAATAATGTTGATACACGAAAACAATACACACACCAAAGTTTGGGTACAAAAAGAGTTACAAAATACTGTTTGTTGTTCAAACATTGCAGTTTACGCTTCAGTCTTTTTTCTAGTACAAACTGAAGTGCAAGCGTAATTTTGTTTCAAACTTCTCGATATTCAAGTATAAATGTCCACTTTAAGATCCCAGAAATGACAGAGAATCAATAAAACGAATATAAATTTAGCCTGCGGAAATGGACTCCAAAAGTAGCATAAGGCAACTTTTGCAGCATAGCAAATTGAATTTGAGGTGAAAGTTTGCAATACAAAATTTTGGATGTGCTGAATTATTTTAAAACAACGACCTCTATACAAATAAGTCTAGAAAGCCTTGTAATCAGAGACACTATCTCTATCCCTCTAGAGATCGTGCCGAAAATAAGGTTGTTTGATAAAAATACAAACAACCAATACATTAAGAACTAACGAGAACTAACCAAACAGCGAAACAAGTTACGTGGATTTGTGAAAAGTATAAATAAGATTTTTTCTTATGTCGAAATCACAGTTGGATGGAAATTCATGTGTGATATGGAGTGTTGAACCCAAGGTCAATGAGAAGGTTGGCAAGAACATTACTAGAACTAATTTCGCAACCATTCCACCTCAGCCATGCTTTGAAACAGGTAAGGTAAAAATATAGCTCTGATTTTGAGTGAGATAATTTACAATTGACAAGACGGCTGATGAATAGAAATAATTTCAATGTGAAGATAATACAAGAATCTAATCAATGGGGAAGTAGATTCCTTCGTCGAAGAATGAATAACCTTTCAATTCTTTGGGCCGAAAGCTTTATCTTTTGAAAATTGACATAATGGAGCAGTTCCAAAAATGAATACCTGATGGAACAGAAGGGTTCTGGAATAAAATATCAAACCATTATATATGACAATTATTGTCAAGTCAGTCTCTGGAGCACAGAAGACCATCAGTACAGTAAAATAATCGAATTGAACAATGGGAGTTTACATGCTTTTGAAAATCCTGCTTTGCGAGTGTCAGGAAATACTACAAACTGGAATTAGCAATATTTGGTGAGGAACACTGAGATGTTCCCAAATGATCTTATTAGATACAGACGATGATTATAACTCTAGTTGCAAACTAAAAAACATATATAAAAAGTTAGAGTTCGATTCACAGCAAACCGTAGTAGTGGAACGATAAGAAACTGAATCGTTTTTGAATCGCTTTCTTCTTTCCCTCTTGTGAACATAAATCTCAATATATTTGAGAAAAAATCGGAAGATTGGTCTATTTTGTTCATAGGTGCCCCAACAAAAGCCACACTGATTGATTTTCTAAATATGAGAAACAACATGTAATAGATGATTAACTAAGAAGTACAGTTGGGCCCACAAAATAGCTGAATACATGCAAAATGAAGCTAAGCATAGTCACCATAACACCTATTTTCCAGCAATAGGCATTTTACACATGCGAAGACGAAACTTGAAATTGAATGACTTCTTCAGTTATATCTTCACTCAGAAGTGCAGGAATCAAAAATTTTCCATTCATCAGAAGTTCCGAAGAGTCATCTGGACCATATGCGCACCATTAAATGAAAGCAACAGAAAGCAGCGTGAAATGGCCAACTAGGGAGTACTTATTTTTCCTAGCCGCATGAATGATAAAGTTGTCACAATGATTCTGAGATAATGAAGATACTTTTTGAGTGATAATCCTACATGATCCTTAGATTCAGCAAAAATCAAGTTGTGCATGTGATTTATCAGAAGGATTCTGTAAACTCATAGGTGACAATCTAGGTACAAATTATGTAAACAGCACACTATATCTGTTATCTAGCAAATTCACATGTTACATTGACATAACATAAAGGGTCTTTCAAAATACACGCAAGATTCGAATTTGCCGCCATTTTGCGATGCGAAGTTCTGGCAAAAAAATGTTTGATGGTTGACAGTTTAGGGTTAGCGAAATTCAGCACATATACGAGATAGTATTGCAAAAATAATGCAATATTGGCAGCGGCAGTTCGCAAATTTCATACAAAATATGGTCGGTATATAAATTGAAATTCGTCTGCTGTCAAATAAGTAACTGAACCAGTAAAACTGGTTTGGTTGGAGATAATGAACACTCTGGCCTTCCAGTCATAAGCCGCTAAAATGATAATATCGAACTAGTGCGTAAGATAGTTGGTGAAAGTCGAAAAACATAAAATTAACATTCAACGAAAAATTGAGAATTTCATTAAGCTCTCTACAGCGCGCACTCACTAAAAATCTACGTTCCCATGCGCAAAAAGTTCAGTTGACACAAATACCGAATCCATCCACAGCAAAGAGAGTCCCACAAATGGATGCTGAATTTTTGAGCAAATCTTTCTAAGCTTATTTTCACCTCAATGGCTTCAGTAGTGATTGCCAAAGAAACATGTTCATCCAAAAAATGTTACTATTTAAAGCGAATTTTGGGCCCAAGGCATGATTAAACCATATACTTCCTCGAAAATGAGGATGCCCAAGTAGGAATTTTCACTAGTGTTATTTCCGACTAAATGAGAAGAGAGAAATGATTTCGAAAAGACGATGCCACGGGCCACACAGCCCATGTCATTTATTTACTGTATGTGTCATTTCTTGGTCGTGTAAACTCCCATTTCGGTGATCAGCATTGACCACCTCGATCATATGATTCAACAACACGATATTCTTTCACAGTTGAAACCTGTTCTTCTATAATATTCAAATCTTGCCATGATTTAGGGACACCCTTTATGATAATATGACTGATGAACTAACGAGATATCAGATATCGATGTTGAGAATAAATGAAAAAGTGGGAAATATCCATTTTAACTTAAGTGTGTTATGCATGTGTTCTCTGCTGTTATTACTGATTTCAATCACTACTACAAACATTAATATGCCATAATCTTTGACACTACTAGTTGTTGAACCTTGAAAACAATGAGAACAGTTCGAGAACCTGCTGAATTGAGCGTCTTGTGTCAGTGCGCCAACAGAATGAAATTACAAAAATACTCTTTAACAACATATCATCCAGCTGATGAACTAACGGTAAATCATTATATCTACTTTGAAAACGAAAAATGAAAACTCACTCAATAACTGTATAGCTGTTTTTCTCATCCCCATTGTGAAGATTGGTAAGTGATCTTAGAGGGATCTCTTCATCCATGAACCCTTCTTGATTGTTCAATGATGTGACGCTGACTCTATTTTGTACATGTTTCGTCATTGAGGTTATGTGGTTCATTCCTTCTGTGACCGCAGTCTTAATTGAATTATACGGAAGATAGTCAACACTGGAAGCGGGCGTTATCTTTATTTGGGTTGAATTCAATTTCAGTGATTTTGCACGGTTAAACGTATGACCGCGTCTCATAGACGACCAAACACTTCCGAAGAGCGAATGATTCCTCTGAAAAAAAAATTAAATAAATTTCCCAATATAGACACATCGGCTTCCAGGACCGGAGTTGCGATTGAAGAGAACAAAATCCGGACTATAAGGCCGTGGTTTAATAGAACCTGAAGGACCAATCGTTTCGTCTTCCGCAGTAGTAGAGTTTTTCTTCCAGTTTGCAAATATCTGAAAGAAACTCCTATGCAATATCTACATATCCATGTGAATAGTGTAAACATTTTGTCTTCCATTCTTTGAAAGTTTACTACTTTCTGTAAATTGATAAAGAAGTGGAGAGCAAAACGCATATTTCCCTCAAAAACTAATCTTCCCCTCCCTTTTCAATTATCATAATAATGTCATTGCCCTTTCTTCTTTTAACGATATTTTTTGTGAAGGACTCAACATTTCATACTGTTTTTTTTTTGAGTTTATAACCTTCCACAATCTGAAAAAATGAAAGCAAAATCAATAGTGATTTTGTTAAAGTGGGGCAAAATGAAAAGTTTACCCTGAAAAGTAACGTGTATAAACTACTGGAAAGTCAGTCAGTAACTTGTCGTATTCATACATTTTCCTGGAAAAAATCAATTGAAAAAAGTAAATATTGATACTTAGCTTTCTTAAGTGGTTACCGTTCCGGAAAAAAATCCTTTTCCGTTTTCAAAACATGTATTCACTATAAAAATCTCGCCTCAAATTGTGATATTTCTAATTTCTTTTGACACAACTCAGAAATCTTAAGTAAGCTTAAGATCGAAATTGAACCGCACATACAATAAAAAACTACAGAGTAACGTTCATACGTCACAAAAAAAAATAATATTGAGAATGTGTAACGAGTCGAAAAGGCGACATGTTGAAAAGTTTTTGGAATCAAATAAATGATTTATGATAATTTTTTTCTAGTTTTATTTATCCCGACATGACTCAAAATTCAAAGGAATTGCGGAACACACACGTGATTGGAGTACCTTTAAGGTGCACCTTTAGGAGTCATTTGTAAAAAGACTATGTTTGAAACATTGTTGATATTTGTTTGTGAATGAGAAAAGGCGATGACGTCAAATTGTTTCATAATCATTAAATTGAATAAAATAATAAAAAAAATCATGATTACATGATGACGGTTTCATTGTAAAAGAAAAAGATAATAATGATGTAGATAATGTACTAAAAACTGAAACATAATTCGGAAGGTCCTAGGTAGCGTCATCCCACCACTCTCCTCATCAATCTATAGTATCAATCAGATGGAAAAATAATAGAATCTGAGCAAGAAAGGGAGCAATATCTCTACACAAACAAATGTAGTACAAAAATATATAGACACAACATATGATGTTGCACAGGAGTTTCTTTCAGATATAAACTGGAAAAAAACTTCATTTTAGATACAATTTCGATGACAAACACCATCTGAAACAACTCTTTTTGAATATATGAATACTGAGTTACGTGAAAATAACTATTTCTCCGGAAAGAAAGGTTTTGGCCTTGTACTTCTCCATCTTTATCATTTCTTTACAAATATGTGTTGATCATTTAAAGAAGTAAATTTCAGACCCAAACTGGAAGAAAAAGCTCTCTCGAAACAACTACTTCCATATAATCATTGAATTGCACGAAAGAAAACTACTTTCGAAACTACTGCTTCTATATGAACATTCAATAACACTTTTTTCTATAGGAATGTACGGTTCAGTGTTTTGGTTAGTTTCCGTTGACACGTCAACACGTGGTTGTCTCAGTTAACACAAGAATAGTTTTACACCACGACACTGAGGATGACTGCCGCAGTTGCAAATGAGACGTTTATAGATTATAACCAAAGAAGACCACGGCAAAACCCGGAAACCAATCAAACCACGTTTTTCTATTCGGGTTGTACTTCAAACATTCGTTATGAAATTGAAACAGATATCATTCGCAGAATTGCTACACAATGAAAGAGGAACCATTTTACTTACATGGAGCACTGTTCAACTAGCTAAGTTGATCCCAGCCACATAGTATTCGTTTAAGGGAAAAGGGAAATATTTTTTAAATGTGTATTTGGTAAAGTTTTCCTCGTGAGGGAAATTTCATGTCAACATTTTTTTCATATATCACGTTGTGCATCAGTTTCAATTCCATTACGATTGTTTGGAGTACAAACTGAATGAGAAAAAATACATTTCGTTAACTCAATGTAGTAGTAGTGGTAGCAGTAGTAGCAACAGTAGTAGGAGAAGCGCCATCGCCATTGATAATGTTTACCACAGTCATAGTTATCTCGCCGTGAAATTTTGCACTCTTTGATGAGTTTACACTGATGTATAATTTTTTTTTGTTCCAAGTTTTTTACTTTCTATTTTATTATGGAGAAGTAAAAAGTCAAAAACGTTCCAATCTTATCATATTTCTCGACTTCACATTCAATTCATATTTTCATTGTTACTGAATTGTATTTGTGAAAAAAACAAGAACAGCAAACCTTTACTTCAACTTCGTTTCCACTCTATCCAAGAAAAAAAAAACAAAACACTTACACGGTGCATCGGTTCTGGATTGTCATCAACGAGTTCATCTAAATTACCGGATATGGCACGTTTCAACTCAGGTCCAGCTTCGTGTAACGTGCGTAATCCAGCTTGCAGGGTAACAGTATTATGGATCTCCTTGTCGCCTTCCTTTAGTTCCTGCTCTTTTCGCTTCTTGAACCGCCTGAAGTAGTCCTGGATGAGGAAGGTCGCGTAAAACTTCCCGACGGTGACTTCATCATCAACTCCGGGAGGCGGAACGACTTGATCCAATAACTTAGGACTCGTTCTTTTCCAGATCTTTTTGATGACGGCCCGCAGCTCCGCGTTGGCGTCATCGATGTTGCCCTCAGTTTTTATCCTGAGGGACGTTCGAACGACGGCAAACAAGGTGGCGTTGAACAACACTGTCCCATCACTATTCAGAGGCATATTCATGGACACTAATCTCTTACACGCTACACGGTGGGGACACAATTTACCGAATCCTAGAGGAGGAGAGATTTTTCGGAGAAGGGTTACGACATCTAAATGTTTTATTCTGCCCTTGGCATCAGGGTCATATTCACTCCACAGCCTTATGAATTCATCTAAGTGATGTGGTCCTAGAATTGACCAGTCTCTTGTGAGATAGTCGAAATTATCCATTATTACAGCTACGAATAAATTGATGATCTGAAACAAAAATCAAGATAATAGTTATTTCTGAAAATGTTAGCATACTTCACCAATCTGAAGAATAGTGTGTATGGTGGGCAATCATTGAGTATTTGTATTTAAATTTCTGAAAGATTTTCAATATTATTTCCAAATTAAATATAAAAAATAATTTTTTGAATTTCACTCTATAGTTGAAAAGTTGAGACCTTCAGCACATTCATTTATATGAAGTTTTATGTTATTGTTTAGTGCCTATAGCGAAAAGAATGTGAAATGGTCAAAAGTCAGCGATCTTTCAAGACCAATAAGGTATGTATATGGAATCCTGCTTTTTCCTCGTTGAACCCTTCATAAAATGCTGACGCTAGATGTTTATCAGCATTCCATCTTTGCGGAAGCGCAGAGTTCTGTAAGAATAGTAACATCTTGAATGAAAATTGAATTAAAAAAAAGAGGTTTCCGTGGCCCGAACCTATAATTGGCGCGGTCAAGAGTAGGATAGCTGAAGAAGAGTCACCCAGAAATTCTTCAGTTTCAACTGTTGATCCGCTTCATCCACCAATTATCCACGAAAAGGACCGGATCATCAGACGCAGCAACTGCATACCCGATGCAGGTTTTCTGACATATTATCGTAGTAACTAGAGTTTTTCTACCTGTTTTGAGGAGATCTAGGAAAAATGATCATTGTAATCAAACAAAAAAACAATCAGCTATTTCTTTCATCTGAATTGAAATTGGTGATCTGACTAAAGTCAGGTAGGAATATTTCAGCAATATTTTTGTGATAGGCTCGCAATAATATATACAACTCTGTACTTACTCATAGATACGCCTAAAGAAGCTCTTGTATAGAAAAACACGCGTTTTTGTAAAACTGTGTAGATAAAATCTCAAAAATTCTTGAACAACAGAAGCAGAATCTGCATCAGGAGAGTAAACAATCTCCTCTTGAGAAGGTCAGGCAAAAAAGTGTTGAATGACTGATTCTAATATATTGCTTTATACAGGGTGCCTATCAAACATGCGGCAAGAAATTAAGGGACTATTTCTTGGCCTATTCTAAGGATATTTTGTCTTTTGATGATTTCGAAGAAACGGGGCAAAAAAGAATTTCGACAATAACAATTTTAGTAATTTTAAAATCATTAAGGTAGCCGAAATGAAAGTATAGCATACTATACTGGACCTACAAAGTAATAAAAAATCTAACAATTTCGTTGGTACCTATTACCAACGGCTGCAGACATTCAATTTGCTGGGTGTATAACGTAATCCGAAACGATCCTGGTGTTCCTGAAAGAGTTCAGGAGTCGATGAGGAGAAGATTGGATTCTTGCACCCGAGCAGGGGGTAGTCGTTTTCAACAGTTCTTGTAGATTAATAACTATTACATATGATTTTTGGTAATACATTGTTATTGTCGCAATTCTTTTTCGCTCCGTATCTTTGGAGCGAAGCGCTCTATCAAAAATCATCGAGAGACAAAATATTATTAGAATAGTTTAATGAATAGTCCCTTGAATTTTGCCGCATGTTTAATGAACACCCTGTATTTATAGATGGCTCACAGATGCCCCATTAAGGTGCGTATCTTGCACTCTGAACAGCCGACAACCTCCTTATGGATCAATCAACTGTAAACCCTTCATCATGCCATTATAGCTACCGAAGGCAATATTACAGAATATGGCCCACAAATGAGGTTCCAGAGCTGTACATTCCATCCTGAATAGATATGGGTTATCTGAGAGGAACAGAAAAGCGTTTCCTGGCTGGTAGGTGCAGCCACGGGAGGGCATCGTCTCAAAATGCTTCACAGAAGACCCACTTCTCGAACCACACATTCATGCAATTTCATAAACTACACCTTACGATTTGATCTGCACAAACTTTATTTTCAAAAATATATCCTGACATGTTTCGCTATCACAGTAGCGTAGTGATTAACATACTGAAAGTTAATTCTTTTACTCTAATTTTCATATCCCCCACGAGATACCTGCTCAGGCACTTTTTCGATCACGATTACCCAGATCATCTACTCAACATTTATATACCTGAAGTACATCCTCAAATTATGATCACATAGAGCATATTATATCAATTCTACATTAATAATATAATGTTGGTTTCTAAGAAAACAAGTTCAGTAATGGTGATTTATTTGAATCCAATTGATTAATCAGTAAAATGTTTGAATTTTTAAGGTTATTAATTTCCGTTGCTTCCAAATAATTAAGCTTTAAACTTTTATTTGCTGAGTATGAAATTTCAAAGTCTCCGTTAAAGACTTAAGGTATATAATAGTTGAGTAGTTGCTTTGGGTAATCATGATGGAAGAATTCCTGAGTAGGTATCTCTAACTTATGATTACGAGGGGTATATGAAAATTAGAGTATATAATATAATCAACTTTCAGTATATGTCATCCACTACAAAACAGCTACTGTGATAGATATATTTTTCGAAAATAAAGTTTGTGAAGATCGAATCGTAAGGCGTAGTTTATGAAATTACTATGGATCGTCAGCAAGTAAGGGCCGAATCAATCAGTAAAAGTAAATGTTTCATGGTCTCTTAACCATGAAGTGGAATATGTTTCATGAAAAAATTTCATTAATAAAAGTCTTTATTATTTCGGATACAAAACATGAGTCCTCGTATCAATTGGGGATTAAAAAAACTTACCAGAAACGAACATAACACGTAGAAAGAAATGAAGTACGGATAAGCCACGTCAGAGCCACATGAACCATCTGTTTTGTTCACATTTTTGTGGCAAACAGCAGCCGAAGTGTCAGCACAATCCATCATTATCTCTTGCCAAGCTTCTCCTATAAATTGAAATAATGAAAAATAATCGAACGAGCCTATCTTGAAAGAGTATAACAAGAAAAATAGCCATTGGGTTTGAGATACTACCAAACGCGACAAATTCTGGCATGAATAAATCTTCAAATATGTCGAGACTCTAGAAGAATCTATATCAACGCTAATTTGTTCCAAACCCAAAATATGTTCTCTTCTGCATACGTTGTCTAGCTCTTTTGGGAGCGTTAGCTAGCTCCTTTGGGCTGTAGTCTCTCGATGTTGAAACGTAATTTTTGAAAACTTGTACTTTTCGCAGATTACAACGTCGCGGTCTGTAGTTTCAGTGACAACTTCATTTCACATCTTTCAATGAGCCAATTTCAAAATGATTGTTTTGTAAATAACCACTTCATCGTTGTCAATGCCTTTTTATACAACTCCGAAACTGTTTAGCTCTGTTTGGTTATGAGTTTTTTTGAGATCAATAATTATTTTAATGGCTCTTTCAACATAAATACATTTCCAGGAGAAACGGTTAAATATAATGAAAGAGAAAAATATAAATAATCAAATGGAAAAAAGTAAGGAGCTTGATTATACTCCCGAATAGACAAAACAAAACTTGAGTTGTCAAAATAAGAAACACTTTGAAAACTTTGTGTTGCGGGAGACTGTTTTTGTCAACAATGGAATCTTCCATCGACCGGCGGAAATATCCAAAGGTTTCAGTGTTTCGTCTGTGTTTTTGTAAACTGATTTTGCTATGTGGAAATGGTCGGCGACATTATTACTTTTTTTAAAGTGTTATTCTGTGATGGGTATACATTTCGATGATCGGCACAAGGCAGGCTATTTTTAATGACTTGTATTGTTTTTTATTTCAAACAAGGATAAGATTCAATTTTCCTTTGTAGAACATGAGCGAAAAAAAGGAATGGATAGTTGAAGAATGAAGCAATTTAATTGCTGTTCGTGTAGTAGAAACGATGGAAAACAGTTCACAACAAAACACGAGACTCAGACTAGTTTTTGTCTGTTTTTATCGAGTTTTCGAAATTGAAACAAGTTTTTTGTTTCCGTTTTTGAAAACGAAATTAGTCTCAAGCCGTTTGGTGGAAACCCGTCTCAATATACATACATATGTACCAACAAGAAACAAGAAGTTATACTTATAACATAACATAATATTACCTGTAGCTGATCGAAAAAGGACCAGCACCGCTTGAAAAAACGAAGCAAAATTGTTGTTTCTGTTTATAGAGGACGAAGACTCCAAATTTTCGTATTCTATTTTCCCAAACATCTGAAAATGATAAATATATTTATTATTAAGTGATCCTATAATAACGTGATTCAACCAAGTTAATATACAATGTGTCCAAGATGAGAAGGGACATGAGACTATCGGAAACCGTAACAACTTTCACAGTCTCAACGTCATACGTTGGGCTCAATAGGTCAGTAGTTTATATCAGATTAGAATTTGGTTGTCATTGTTTTCAGTCATATTATGATGTCGTTACATGATAAATCACCTGCATTCCGATGACAGCATATATGAAGAACAGCATAACAATGAGTAGAGCTACGTAAGGCAGAGCTTGGAATGATTTCAAGAATGTCCACAGCAACGTTCTTATACCCTCTCCTCTGCTCAATAACTTTATCAATCTCATCACTCTGAACAGTCGAAAGAAGTTGCCAGATAGTTGGAATTTTGAGCCAGGCTGGAAATTAACGTTTTTAGAAAGACATAAATTGCAGATGAGGAACTTCTTACGTTAACGTCTTGATAGACGATATCCACAAAACTTCCCAATACTATAATGAAATCGAATACATTCCAAGCATCTCCGAAGTAATTCTGAAAAAAGTATATCAATTAGTTTCCATTAACAGGCATATCGAGTCGAAAGGCAGGAAAAAAGCAAACTATAACTCAACTTTCGTATAAAATCAACTCCACATATGGTTAATCATGCATTACCCACGAAGCAAAACAATCTCAGTAGCACGTGTATAATAAATGATAAATAGATATCCATTTCGAACTGTCCCTGTCAAAGGTATACAGAATAAAGTAATAGTCTAGTTACCATTAGAATTAATGTCACCGCCGACGATAAAAATCAATAATGTCATAATTTCGTTTGGCCTAACCACTGCAGTATTATGCGAAAGTTATGTTAGATCAAAGTTCGGTTTTTGCATGGCATTGGGAATAATCAGTAAACATTAGAATCCGGATGTATAGAAATCATAAATGTCAGTTTGTATTTCGAGATTGTTTTATCGTTCGACTTTATTGCAGTTATCTGAAGAAGTTTTCGAAAATTTCTGTTATTGAGGCATATAAACTTCATGAAATAAGAGGAATTCATGGAAAAATACCTGTTGCATTATTGTTTGAACAGATAACGTTTTATAAAACTACACGTTACCTTTCCTTACAAAAATAAACTCGATTTCATAATTTGAAAAGTGTAAATGAAGTGGTCAATTTTTTTAAGGACAAAATACTAGAAAAATCCTTAAAATGATGATCAGAATAAAGCCTGTGCGAAAGTAGCGATTCACTTTATTGGATTTGAATCGCTGGAGATCAAATCCATTTGGAAAAACATTCTCAAGAAGTTTATTCCACATGGACGCAGTTTTCCAGATGAAAGAGTTCTTGAACAGTGGAGTTCGAGGTGTACTGAGTTGAACCTCAAAACGATGAGCAACTGCAGTCCGTTGCGTATTTCTGATATGTACCGCTCTTGGTGGAATCAAATGCGCAAGTCACTTGTACAACTCCCGTGAAAGTATCTATAGAAGAGAAACAAATCTCCAACCTTTCTTCGATGTTTCAGACAAACAAGGTTGCACGTGATGTTCGCGTCTCCAAGGCATATGACTCTCTTCTGGACGAAATCCAGCAACTTCAGGGTATGTTTGAGGTCAGAGCTCCATACATGAGAACAATACTCCAAAGAAAGGCTGATCTGAGCTTTATAAAGCATCAAAAGTTGCTGAGATGTGTACAGTTTTCTAGTTCGGGACAGTGTTGCAAGCTTTTGGGAAGCAGCCTTTTAAATTCCAGCGACATGATTGTGCCAAGTATATTTTAACCCCCAACAAACTTATCGAAGCAGAAAGCGGAATTGTCTGACCTGACATTATTATATCCGGTTCGGAGACATTTATCTTTTTGGATAAAACCGATGCCTAGGTTTTTGTGGCATTGGATTGAACCTGGTTACTTTCACCCCAACTCGAAATCACTTCTAGATCCTCATTAAAATATGCAACCTCCTGCTGCCGGTGAAGATGTGCCTCCCTAGCCGATGTTCTGGAATCCAAATGGAATGACGAGACGAGAGAGTGTGCTCTCGTCAGCGAAGCAATATATCGGATTCTTGTTTTTTTTCTCAATAAGTCGATGATAAAAGAGAGTTGGCGACAAAATGGATACCTGGGGAACACCAGCGTTGATGGTGAAATTATTCGAGAGATATCCATCGACGGCCACACGCAGGGAACGTTCTTTCAGGAAGCTGAAGAGCCATACACAAAAATGATGGTCAGCAAACCATCATGCCACACACGGTCGAAGTTCAAGCGCAACAGCTCTTGATTCTAGATATTTCTCGATTGCGTTATTCCAAATATGGGTGACATACGATAAAAGGTCGCCTGTTGATCTTTGTTTCCGAAAGTCATATTAATGATCGCTCAAGATGTTGAAGCCTTTCAAATATTCCAGGATATGGTGGTTTAAGACTTTCTCTATGATTTTGGATATCACCGATAGCAAAGCGACTGGTCTATAGTTATTTGGAAGATTTTTCTTGCATTTTTTGGGAATAGGCTGCGAGCAATCTTCTGACAAAAAGGAAAAACCTCTTTCTTGTAAGACAGGTGGAGAAGTCTGCAAAAGTGCAAAATACTGGTGCGAGTTCATTTGCGCACTTACGGGCACTTTTTCAGGGCCAGACGCCTTGTTGATATTGAGCTGTTTCAAAATACACCTGACTAGACGCTGTCGACAAGTAATTTCCGGCTTTGTGGATTCTAGTAAAGGAGTGGTGACTTTCTCAGAAAATTGACCGTGGAGTGAGAAGCAAATTGTTCAGCTAGTAGATTTGCTTTTCCTATGACTGTTGTTGCAATTCTACCAACAGCTTGTATCAGTGGTGAAATTGTGGATTTTGTGAAGTTCTGATTAACAGCTTTAGCTAACCACCACTCTTCCTAGATAAAACCATAGTACAAGAAAGCATCCGCAATCCAACACCAGACAGCATCTTTTCACCAATGTTGATGTGATGACAAAACAGTCAATCTACTAGCTGAACAACTTGCGTTCCACTCCACAGTCGATTTTCTGGGAAAGGCACCACCCACTATTCTCACACTAGAAATCACAACGTCTAGTCAGGCGAATTTTAAAACAATATAATATCAACAAGGTGTCTGGTCTTGATGAAGTGCCCGTCATCGTATTGAAAAGTGTGCAAATGAACTCGCACCAATATTTTGCAGACTTCTCAACCTGTCTTACAAGGAAAGGGTTTTTTCTTCTTTTTCCTTTTTTCCCAAAAAGGAAAAGAAACATATTTCAAATAATTCAAAATAGTTTTTTTGTAATATTGAAAATCATGGAGAAAGCCGTTAACCACCATATCCTCAAATATTTGGAAAGCTTTAATAGGCAGCAGGCCACCTTGTATCGTATGTCACCCATATCTGAAATAACGCAATGGAGAAACATGGAAAATCAAGAGCTGTTGCGCTTGATATTTCCAAGGCCTTTAACCGTGTGTGGCATGAGGGTTTTCTGGCGAAACTTCGATGCGATGACTTGTCGGATCATTTTTGTGTATGGCTCTCTAGCTTCCTGAAAAAACGTTCCCTGCAAGTGGCTGTCTATGGATATCTCTCGATACTTTCACCATCAACGCTGGTCTTCCTCGACATTCCATTTGGATTCCTTGACATCGGCTGCGGATGCACATTTTCACCGGCATCAGGAAATTGCATATCTTGATGAGGATATAGAAGTGATTTTGAACTAACCAGGCTCAATTCAATCCCTCAAAAACCCAGGCATCGATTTTCTCAGAAAGATAAATGTCTCCGAACCGTATATAATAGCGTCGGGACAGACATTTCCGCTTTCTGCTTTGATAAGTTTGTTGGGGATCAAAATGGACACCAATATGTCTTAGCACAATCATGTCGCTGGAATTGCAAAGGATGCTTCTCAAAAGCTTGGAACACTGTTCCGAACCCGAAAACTGTAAACACCTCAGCAAATGTTGATGCTTTATGAAGCTCAAATCAGACCTTCTTTGGAGTATTGTTCTCATATATGGAGCTCCGCCTATAAGCATAACCTGGAGCTGCTGGATTCCATCCAGAAAAAAGTCATCTGCCTGATTAGAGACGCGAACATCACTACCAACCTTGATAGTCTGAAATATCAAAGAAAGGTTAGAGATTTGTCTCTCTTCTATAGATACTACAACGGAAAGTATTCAAGTGACTTAGCACATTCGATTCCACCAAGAGCGGTACAAATCAGAAATACGCGACGGACTATGGCTGCTCATCGTTTTGAGGTTCAACTCAGTACACCTCAAACTCCTCCATCTGGGGAACTGCGTTTATGTGGATATAAATTTCCTGAGAAAGTTTTTCCAAATGTATTTAATCTCCAGAGATTCAAATCTAATGAGAATAGCTGGAACGCCTTAAGGATGTTCGTGTAGTGCTTGTGTTTTGTCCTTAAAAAATATAAAAGATAAACGAAGTTTTCAATAGCGTCCGTTGCAAATCCAAGATTCGACATCGACTATACCGAACAAGATTTATCTTTTGTTTTTCTCTGACTTTTTTACTGAAAAGCAAATAAATGAAATCAGAGTTAGGCTCTTCAAAGGGCCTTGAGACTCTCGAGAGTCTCTTTCACCTTTGATATTATAGAATGAGACTGTGGCTGAAGAAAGAATTTGCTGAATGTAATAAAGGAAAAACAAAAAATTCATTCCGAAAACTTACTGCGTAATATAAATCACTAGAGTCCACTTAGTTATTAACGTGTTGTATTCAAAAATTTCAACAATAAACTGAATAATCAATGGAAGAAATATAAAAAATGAATCAACATGCTTTTTACTTTTCCAGAAATGAACCTTTTCCATTCTCAAAACCCCAAATTCACTTCTGAGAAAAGCCTTTCTTAAAAAGGTTTATTTCGTTCAACAAACGTCAAAAGAATAAAAAACAGATATAGGATTTTTTTCCGAGAATTCACTTCAGGATAATATTTCCGTTTTCTTTGTTTATTTTTCACATAGTAAAAGGTTAAAAATCCACAAAAGCAAAAAGAAACATTGATTTCCCCACAAAAATGCCTTGCAAAAAATTTTTGCATGTTTTCAAAATTATCTGTGCTTGAAATAGGATTTTGGAAAATATTTTCATTTAGCAGTTACGGCTCTGAGAAATATTTACAATATTGGTGATGACGTTATGCCTGCATGCATCTGTTACTCCAAAGGTATATGTGAAGTGAATACTGTACAAACAAACAAAATATAAACAAAATTAATATGTTTACCTTCACGCGAAAGGCTGCCAATTTGAAAACGAATTCCATAGCGAAAACCGCCGTAAATATCATATTCAGATAGTCCAAAACTTTTTCGTACATCTGATATTCTTCTGGCTTGTGATAGAATTTCATGCCTAGCGTAATGGTATTTGTTAAAATGAGGGTGAAAATGGCATACTCAAACGGTTTCGATGTGACAAACCACCAAACCTTGTACTGAATGCGATGTTTCGGAATGTATCTTCGTATAGGTTTGGCTTTCAAGGCAAATTCTATGCAGTTACGTTGATTTTTGTCTAATTCACAATTTTTATATTCTTGCTCTCCTTCGTTTTGGAATGTAACAATAACAAAACCAACGAATATGTTCACCATGAAAAAGGCTATAATAATAATGTATATTATGTAATACGCTGCAACTATGGGGCGGAAATTATGTATTGGTCCATTGTTTTCCTCGTTTGAGTCTATTGAAACATACAGTAAATTGGGCCATCCCTCGAATGTCGAAACAGTGAATAACGTTAACATAGCTTTCATAACGTTATCGAAATGAAATCTGTTAGGATCCCAACTTCTTTCCTTCATCTCAAGCCTATTGATATCACCGTCCTGATACACAAAGTAAGTGCCTCTACAAATATAAAAAAAAAACATTAAGTTACAATGTACTTCATCATCAACAAACGGTAACTTACTTGCACTCGTCGGCAGTCATTTTGGATCGATCGCTACAGTGCGAGAACCTGCCCTAAATTCATTCAAAACATAGATTTTAATTTTCATGTCACATAATTGTTCAACCAATGCAGATGTGGATTGCATGCACATATAATAGACCCCAAAAAGGAAGCATTCTTGGTATAAATCCAAATGAATAAAAAAGAATTAAACACTATTTTTTGACTACCACAAGAAAAAGAAAATCAGTTTGATGTACTGTCGGTGTCTGGAGCTAAGTTAGCCATCTTGACAAATCTCCAAATGTTGTTCCAGGTATTCAATTCCGAATCACTTATAGTTGAGTATTTTGTGTAATGCATACTACTATTATTATTCTACAGAATAACGTCTTTTTAAAACCATTGCTTCAAGATGGCCACCTCCTCAACTCCAATTCTGGATACGAAACCTTCAGTATATCAACTCAGAATGCATTCGAAAAATAATGGTTCGATAAGTATTCATTCGGAATAACATACCCCAACTAACAGAGCTTCAAAAAATTGGAAGCGCAGTTCTGTGTACAATGATCGTGCAAAAATCGTGCAATACTATTACTCATTATTAAATATGCGATCACTTGTAGTCATAACTAGTAACAATATGAGACAGGACTGATATATTGAACGAACGCTTCTACAGATTCTATCGTGTTAAAAAACGGTGGTGTCGACAATACATAACATGTTAACATCCGCTTGCATCAACCTACAAGCCTTAGCCAGGAGAAACAGTTTCATTGCAGCAAGTTTATGATGCGTAGTGTTATTTTTGCTTGATATGGTGAACTGTGAGTTTATTCAAAGGAGAATGTAAAATATCTACATCTACTAAAAGAGTAATATATAACAATGTCGTCTTTGCTGTTTGTCGATGTTATACAAGGCTGAAGATATTCCAATTGCATCGTGTCTTGTTTTAAATTCAAAGAAAAACGTAAAATATTCACATCTACTCCCAAATTAATATCTTAAGAATGCCGAATTTGCTGGTAATCGATCATATACAAGGCGGTAGAAGATTTTACAAGTGCATCTTGTTGTGTTTCAAATTCTAGACTAACACAGTTCTTTTTATCACAAGCTTCAGCTTGTAATGAATCTTCAAATTAATGTCTGAGATCAACATTATCCATTTAATATGAATTTTTTATCTCCTTGATTGAACATAATAACTGGCGTTGATAATGTGTAGGTCATATCACCTGAAACTAATGATTCCACCCTGAACTTATTCCAAACGCATTATAGAACAACATTACTTCAGCTTCATTGTCAAGAATAACGCAGAACAGTGTTAAATGAATAAGATATTCACTTCGTTATCAAAGATGACACTTCACTCCACAGAACTCTTAAGCTGATAACTTATGACAAGAACGAATATCAAACGTGGCGGTATAAAAAACGCATGCTTTTTCTAAAAAATATATTGTATCCTGAACAGTAGCAATTATGTACATTTACAGACGGTACCGATGTCAAATCACATGTTCCATATTGTTCGATAATAACCAAAATGGTTTAAAAATAACATACTGCATAATTACCAGAACTGTAATTGTAACTGTTTGGTAACGGTTCTGATGTGTAAGAAAAGTTTTTGTTGGACTTAATTCTACGTTATGATATTTTTCTGTTAAAATAATATGCAGGTATATAATATAAATCTAAGACAACTGTTTTCATAACTTTTTATGAAACATACAACTTAGAGAAAATAATTTGTGCAATATGAATTTTGTGTACAGGATTATTCAAATTGGAATCTCTACATGCGAATATCGTAAGTTGTAAAAGGTAGAGAATAGATATACAAATAATCATTTCTCAAATTGAAAAAATGTTGTTGATTCCTAATGATAAGGAAATTATTTATATGAGAACTTGCTTGGTTGCAAATATTTCAAATTTCAAACAACCGATCTGTAGAAATGTTAAATATAGCCTAACCTCGGCAATTATCAGTCGAAACAGTACCAGAATCGTGACAAAATGTAAAATTTGCAATAGAAGCATTCCAAAAGTGAGGTTTTCTCATTTAAAATTTTTATATTGTGTTCTGAAAGGTTACGCAGAAAGTGTGCTGAACATGCTTATATTAATAAAAATATTATTGATTCTAATAAATGATAGGCAGTTTTCGTATTTTGAGCTATTCAGTTTCGCTTGAAAATGAACAGACTATATTTTCCAGATCTTCCACCTATTTGTGCGGATGTTAACGCCTTTGAATAACCAAAGTTCACCATAATAAGCCGTGGTGTATGAAGAACTGCTCTGTAAAGCTTACCAACATCGACACGGTATCCAACTCGACACTCTGAATCGAAAGGAAATAGGCCGTTTATCACATTGACAGCGCCCACATTGACAGGCGGTAGATCATCAGCCAGACAGACAGACAGATAAGACGGTATTTTTGAGTGAGCGTGATCTGTGAGTGGAGGGCGGCGTAAGTTCTACAACATGCCGCTATCCAGCTACAGCCAGAACATGCAGATCTACCGTCATTGTGCAGCTAGAAGCTCGGAAATTTACCTTGAACAGTTGCACTCCTATCACAGCGAACATGAACTGCAGAAGGTAGGTAACCAGCATGATATTGCCGATCGTCTTAATGGCTACTATCACACATTTCACAACATACTAGCCATAGGAAGATTCGGCATGAAATAATGGAAAAAAACGATACAGTCAGTAAAGTAAGTAAAGAAAAGCGAGGCTTCGGTCGGTTTTGTATATACCTCCCAGGGGTGTTGCCAAAAATTCAGGAAATGCCCAATTTTCAAGGGTATTTAAAATTTTGGAGGGATTTAGTGGAAGGATTATTGTACTAGGGGATTGTGATCATCAATAACAATGAATGGGATATCGGAGAAATAAACAAAATATATTATTTTCATTTCTTTACATTAGTCGTTCAGATACTTCAAAAAAACGTCAACTTGGTAAGAAAATGTATTTTATAGAACTTGATTCTTTGAAAACGTGACACAAATAATGAATACGGAAGTAACACAATAAAATAAATCAAATCATTACTCGTCATATTCATTGTCTGGAGAAATTCAACAATGATGAGGTGATTTTCAAAATGTGACCACATAGAGGTTGGATGATAATGTTATTGCATGATCAAGGAAAAAGGTTTTTTTGATTTATGGGGATTTTCAGTATTCTGAATTGGCAACAACAGTCCCACTAGCGCAAAAAATCTTCTAAAAAGCTTTTTGGACGCTTGGTTTGATGAATCGGTGATTGAAAAATATTGAATATTATTATTCATGCAAATTTCGTACTGTTCCAAAACAACTCGAAGGGATCGATATAACTATGAGAAGTGTTGTGTTTGAAAACTGAATACAGCCCTATATATTCAAAAATTCAAACACCGACTTTTAAAAAACACCAAGCATTCAGAGCATGAAAAATCCGGATCGAAGGAAATAGCGCCCTCTTACATCTAACTCCACCAGCTATTATCCATATAAGGACGACTCTATGCAACAACTGATCCCGTATGATTCATATACAATTCCGAACACAACAATATCTCACTGTTACAGCTTAAAATAGATAGAGAAAATTAATGCACCTGTTTACCACTAACATCAATTACAATTGGTGTCAGGTGTGTCTCTTGTGAAAATATTATACATTAATTCAAAAAACACACTTTAATGTGAGATGTCCACTTGAAGGTGGTGTTTTAGTAAAATATTAATATATGTAAAACAAATTTCAATAATTTTAAGGAAGTGTTATTACCCTCTACCTGGTATTACCAGTAACTCATATTCACTACTGGCGGTGGAAAGTTACGTAACAATCGGAATAAGTCGTTGCAGGAGTTCGACCTACCTGAATGAAAATCGACTAAGCTCATTCCAGAAGTGTCCAAATGCAAATGGTCGCGACTTATCTCTATTACCAAATATTCTTTGTTTTATGTTATACAAGTACTCTACCCCTACTAGATATACATATGAAGGGAATTTCATCACAAACACCATGGTGCGTACTATCAAAAATCTATTTGAGGTGACAACTTGGGATGAATAATAATTTTTCGACAAATAGGGCATATTTAATGAAATTTGCAGTGATGGAGTAGAAACCTAATTACTTCACTCATAACTGATACATTGCACTGAGACCTCTTGATCAGAGCTTGGATGAAGGAGGAGTGTGAAAAAACTTTTTGGATTTCAGAAAAAAATTATATATTGTTATTAAAGGAAATGAAGGGATGCATGAAGTGAGCTCAACATGCTAATATACGTGAAAATATTATTGATTCTAATGAACAACAGGCTTTTTTTGTTATATCAAGTTATTTTTTTAGTTTCGGAAATATATTTTCATAATTTCCTTACTTCCTTCTCTACTTCTCACATAGTTTTCATGATCTGTAGAATAGGGAGGGTGAGTGTAAGCCCACAGCACTTAGGCCACCCGAGGAATTGTCCTCCTAGGTCATCGTCCATCCTGTCCTTTCCAAGAAGGTGGACAGGCCACTGGGAGACATCTCCTTTATATCGGCAGGTGTAGGCCAAGACTCGCCGAACACACAGTCTCTTATGTTATATGTTATATGTTTTTTCCGTTGACCAACTATCGCACCCCTATGAACGATAACCCTCAGAAGTCGAAACTTGTGCGAGCTGACTAACGAGGTCTTACCTTTTAACGTATGATTCCTAACACGGGTTGGACGATAGCAAGTGAAAATCGAGCGTTCAGCCTGGGGCTTGAACCATCGACAATTGATTGAGTGAACAAAGCACCCACGTCGAACCGCCCGGCTACCGATCGACGATAACTCCGGGCACTCGCATAGGACATGCCTGGCAGTTTCATCTTCCTGTCACACATCCTGCATAACGGTGTGTCCACTAGCCCAATAATATGGAGGTGTTTCTTTAATTGACAGTGGGCAGTCATAGTTTTCATGATATTGCAGGCAGTAGGATTTGAGAGATGAATGGGAAAAAGTGATTTTAACATCACTATTACGATCATCTATAGATCTTCCAGTGAATAATCTTTATAGTTCAATGCTGAAATAGGTAAATATTTACCCATTCAGTAGAATTACTACCAATAAAACTCATTAGTTGTAGATAGTTAGTAATTATAAAATTCATATGAGAAATGAAGGTCAGAGATTTGCCAAAGATAACACCCAGGTCACGAGCCTCACCAATACTACTTAATGAATGATTGTTCGAAGAGTCTCTAAACTTGATGAATACTTTCTTTCTGGAGAAAACAATGCAATGTAATTTTTTCATATTTGAAACCATTTTTATTTCACCAGAGCCAGAACGCATGAAGATTGATCTGGAGTTTCCTGCAGTCATTAGTATCAACTATTTGCTTGGACAGTTCGAAATCATCATCAAATGACATAAAACTAGAATAACATACTACGGATAACAGTTCTTTTCAACAATGATTTCGACAAATGTTATGTTTTTTTTTTGTCGAAGCCTGTCAATGATATCCGCTCTTCTCCATGCATCAGTTGGTGGAATGAGGTCTAACATTTACAGAAAATATTCTTCACACACTTCGCATTATCCATGGGCATCAATTACAGAGTTAGGTGGAATGAGGTATAACATTCTCATGAAATATTCTTCGAACATTTCGCCGTTCAATGTGGCTCGCTTTATTTATCCATAAGGCGACTTTAATTCAGTAGACCAGCCTAAAACTGCTCGACGTACACTTGTAATGCCACATCTTTTCATCGGCGTATTTTTCGTTAATCCAAGTTTCGTCCAGATAATAAATCTTTTTATTTTCATAAGTTTTTCATAATTTCTTTCTGCCTATCATCGGAGACCAACTTTGATCTTTCTTCAAGGCTCCCATTATTTTGTCGAAAGTTGGTATTCCTCTCTTAAAATGAAATGAGTGTACTGTAGGCACCGTTTTTGATGCAAAAGATGTTTTTGTCGATTTCACAGCTTTTTTTTTCTCTCATTCTTGAATTCATATATCGATGATTTTAAAACTCTCATAATTCACGAACTCATTTCCACTAGAGTATCAACGGTGTATGGAGGATTTTGGTGTATGAAAGGTCGTATAGATTGAGAATAATCATCATTCCATTTGTGATACACTGTTTGGACACTTTGGTGTAGTAATGAATATTACTGGAGTTTTTCCCAACACCAAACCGTTATTTCAACACCTCGATACGTGTTTCGATCACTAAGTGACCATCTTCACGAGGATGATCAAACTAATCATATTTACAAAGTTATCCTTATTTATACCATAGATACCTGTTCTAGGTACCTGCGTCACATTCCATAGATTTCCGTTCATTAAGATAAGTTGGAAAAATGAACTACAACAGGCATCTAGATGCCTATGAGGGTGTAGAAATAAGTAAACATAATAATATTATGAATAACGATGGCGGACCAATACCTAATATAGCTTGTTAAAGTAGTACTTTAACTATTAGATTTACCTGACTATTACATAAGGACACATTGTAAAATTAATTTAAGACTAGTAGATAAGGCAATATTGTGAAATTAATTTTATATAGCTTATAATATTTTAATTATTAGATTCACCCGACTATTACATAAGGACCCATTGAAAAATTACTTTAAGATTAGTATATAAGGCAATATTGTGAAATCAATTCAACACTCAAGACGCAGATACCTAGAACAGGAATCTAAGATATAAATAAGGACAGGTTTGGTGTTGGGAAAAACTCCGGTAATAATCATTCTATTAATAGAATAAGCACATTTGCTCATTCGTTTTATCGAAGAGAAAACTGAAGTAGACATTTTAATTCACACTAAGTATTATTTACTAATAACAACACTGATTGAGACGCAAGGGCTTTTCAAAAACTCATATTCTACAGATGATAAAGTAGTTAATTAAAACACTATATCGACTCATGACGCATCCTCTTTTCCTTTCCTAATTTAAACAAGTAACCTGTGCAGGTATGTGATACACTGAAAGGTGCTTTTCATAGAAAGCATTGAAAATTTTAATCAAAATTAAAAAGTGGGTGTTTAATTGAAGAACAAATCAATTTTTTACTGATGTCAATGATCCATATTTTTGTCACTCACCGTGTATATAAAACTACAAAAAGTCTTTTGAGATTTGTTATATCAAATCATACAATAACATTGAATTTTCAAAATGAATACTACATTTTTCACTCAATTATGTACGTCTATGGAACAGCGACTTGATAATGATTTATTACTCCGCTACTTAAAAAAAAAGACTATAGTAGTAGTCTTCATAATGATTTATTACTCCGTTCCGTAGGGAAATAGACTATAGTAGTTTTCACCACGTTAGGTCTGTTGGTGTCAAAAAAGTAATTTGGATGGAAGAATTTTGGAGTATCTACAGAATTTTCGATTTCCACACACCATTGGTTTTGCGATGAAACCCTTCAAAATCAGAATTGAGATTCATTCATTCCGTGTTCTGAGGTAGAGGAGCAGTACAATCTGTAGTACTATTTTGTTGAGACACTTCAGTAATGAACAATAATTCTAATTCTGTTATCTGATCTTGCACGAGCTACCCCACGTAGGATTCGAGCGTGGAGCAGGTACTTCATAAAAGGGGAGTATCGCGCCACCAGTCGGGACGTCAAATGCACCCAGGGTGTTTGTAGGCGCCCTACCCTAGATATGACTACAAGTGCGGCTGTTGAGGACCGGAGGCGCTGCATGGATAAGGCAAAAAATACACTGGACTTCTGGCAGTTGGCCGCGCACACGCAAATACAGCTGAGCGGAGCATGCGGGTTAATAGGCCGATAGGACCGTATCTGGCCCGCGGCTCCCACCACGGCACACGGCGGTTAATCGTCTTGCAAGGGCTGGTTGTAGGGGGAACCCATAGGTGCATTTGCTTGAACAACAACGGACTGCTGGTGCCTACCTTGAACAACTGGACTGCTATCACCGCGAACATGAACTGAAGTAGGCAAGTAACCAACACTATGTTGCCGATGGTCTTTACCGCGACAATCACACACTGGACTACGTGCTAAAGATAAATATACGTCAGATCTCGAGCCGTCACTTCTCAGCGAGCTGCCCTCACCTAGGTTTCTAATGAGCCAACCTAAATGATATCGTAGCAAATACATACCTTCAGTCCCTTGGCTCGGTTGATGGCCCTCAACGGTCGTAGAACTCTCAACACCCTCAGAATTTTTACCACATTCATGGCTCCTTGACTGGAATGAAAAACTTTGATTCACATTCAGTCAGCTAAGAAGTCTCGATTTTTGGAAAAGAAAGGTTTTGGCTTTCTACAACTCCATCTTGATACAAAAATTTGAGAATCTTCCAAAGAAAGGAAGTAAGCAATCAATTTCAAAGTAGGTAACTATACATCGATGTGTGAATAATGCAAAGAAGTAACTTTCAGACACAAACTTAACGAAAAAGCCCTCCTGAAACAGCTACCTTCATATACACATTGAATTACACGAAAGAATAAAACTTCCGAAACAAATGTTTTTATATTATGAATACTGAATTATGCAAAAAATACTTTTCTCTTCTCAGTTTGTATTCCAAACATTCGTTATAGAATTTAATCGGATATCTGTTAAAATCTGTTTTTTCGTTAACCAGATATCATCATTCACAGGATTCCCATTTTTTTTTATCAAGATAGGGTAGTAGAAAGCCAAAAACTTTTTTTTTCATAATTTAATCATTATTAAAAATGTAACCCTTTCAATTCAAATCTCAATTGTGCTTAGAATACATTTGGATATTTTCATGCATAGTTTTTGGTCTCGACTTGATTGCAATAATAAGTGCAATAGTCAAAACGTCAAAGCGAACATTGAAAATGATTATCTAGAATTATGACAGTATAATTGTTAAACATACCTGTTGTAAATTGAAACTAACGAAACACAAACAACTAATAAGTCCAACATGTTGAAGGCCGAACGTAAAAAGGCACCCTCGTGTAATATGCATCCATATGCAATGGTTTTCAGCATCAGTTCTATAGAGAAGATTACGGTAAAAAAAACATCGAATTTTGAAAGCACCTGAAAAAAAAGTCATGAAAAAACTTTATGTCTAATAGATGGAGTTTACGGAAATATCAAATTTTTGTGTGAGAGTCTCATATTTATCAATTTCATGGCTCTTTGTCTCCTACAACTAGGGCAACTTTGTATTATTTGCTATTTCTAGTTTATTCATCGAAAATTTCACCTGTGCATCTTGAGTTCAACTTTAAATGAATTCAAGTATTATTTTTGGCACAATTTATATCCCTTTTCAAAAGCAATAGAACAGTAGGTAGTTTTTCAAATTATCTGTTAGATATCGTATACTTATCTTCACTACGAATAAATGATTATATGAACTAACTGATAGAAATTCAAAAAATAAATTAACTTCGATTGTTTTTTAAACATCTGTTTTTCGCAAGCCATCTACTAACCTTGTTTGTTTCTGATTCCGAATCAATGGGATCTTCAACAGCCAACAATGCCGATGACACCATGATACATACCAATATCATATTACTAAAGTAACTGTGGTTACATAGCCAGTGACAGAGAATGCGAAACCTAAAAGGGGAAGTCACATTTAGGGTTACCGATTCATCAAATATGATTTTATATCAAATAACAGGCTCGGGATTCTACTGGATAAGATCGTTTCAAACGAAAAAATCAACCATTTCATGGAAAACACTCAAAAGTCGATATTTTCAGCATTTATCGTTCCATAAAATATTGGTGTCAAAATTCATATTATTATTGGATACATTTTTGTCGTAATGAGTCAACGTACAACAGTTTCAATGAACTTAGTTCAATCTAACGCATTATATGCTATAAGCTAAACAAACAATCAATGAATAAATTCATTCCCAGTACGCAAAAATATATAAATATATTTTTTCAGTTTCGAAACAAACCTTGAGAAATTTGGCGGAAGAGAAGTGAAATTGATAGAGAGGAAAATTTTTTTGAAATCAAACTATTTACGAATACTCTTAGAACTATTTAACGTCCGGCCCAATTTTCTATTGAAAATTAAAACTTAGAATTGGACCTTCTGACATAAAATGAATCTATTGAAAACACTTTTTCCACATCAGAATAACAATATTGTCTCTCGATGGCGCGTTCCCTGTGAAGTGTTTTCAATAGATGTAATAAGAATTTTTCATTACAGATAGCAACAAACAATGCTTTCACGGCAAAGCTATAAAAGCAGGTGGGTATTCCAGTGGCGTGTCGCTACAAATGTGAAAAATTATGGAAATTTTTATTGAATCCTAGGCCGACATCACATAGTAAGCAGTGAACTTCTCAGTTTTGAGAACATACATCTAATCCGCACGCCCCTGAAAATCAAATGACCCAATGTAGTTAAGCCATTCAATGATGCTCTTACACAAAACACAGGGCACTATAAAGCCGAATGCGCACATTTTAACTATCAACACAAAATGGCAGAGCATGGTTGATGGATTTGAAATGAAGATCTAGTTGAGTAATGAATCATTTCAAGTCTGATCAACTTCTAAAACATTTTCTAAAAGGATATGAAGTGAAATTCCATGTTGGAAATTCCAGGTAATATCAAAGTGGAGAAATCTTTGTATCATCAAATGCAGAATTCATTTCTTGATAAAATTCAACAAACAATGTTCAAGGTTGTCAAGATAATATATTCACAGAAAGATCAAAAACGATACCAAAACCGAAACTCCAAACTAAACGAGAACTCCAAAGTTTGTGATGTTTCAAGAGAACGTATGTGAGGAACATTCAAAGGTAATAAATATCATCTGTTCTCTGTATAAAATGAATGGGATGCTTCTAGGAGGCAAGTGTCTCATTAATTAACTGAATCATACTTATTTATGCTGGGATCAAAATCAGTAATACCATCTCATGAACAACTCTAAGTTGTACCCGAATTCTTGAATCTACTGATTTCTAAACATTCTAGAAGATTGAGTTTCAAACTTTTCTCTTCTAAATGTAACACGTCGTAATCATCATTGAACTTATATCCTTCTGCTCAAAGGTGGTTTGCAAATGTGGAATTGGTCTTTTTATTTACAAAACTACTTCCATGCTCCTTAATTCTTCGGAAAAGTTTTCCCCCTGTTTGGCCAAGAGTTGACTTGTGGCTCTACTATATTCTACATTGTAGAATACAGTTAAATACACGGCCGAAGGAGTCGTTGTATGGCGAAACACGTGTTGCGTTTTTGTAAAACTGTTTGGTGAAAATCTCACAATGAAGTGTTTTTTGAATACGTTCAATATATGTTTCAGTTTTATCCAAGTCTTCCATGTAGTTTGAAATAAGTATAACAGTAAATTATTCAGCGTCTTGAGCCCCGAAGGAAGTATTCACTTACGAACCTATAAGATTTCCTCAGAATCTCGTAGTATCTAATAAAAACATGACATTTTTATAGCATACAGTATTTTGAACGAATTTTTATTTCCTTTGGTCGAACTGAATTCATTGGAACTGTTGTTTTTCTATATTAATTTCCATGAAAAGTTTGATGAAGTCAATTTGAGACAACTTATTGTCACTACAGGTTTAATGCGGATACTACTCAGGTTTTGGAGGTCGCACTACAGAACAAACCAGTGCGGAACCACACTATAGTGCCAGAACAGGTTGCAAGCGCAACACACTCCTATGACAGGGTTCCCTCTTGTCAAACAACGGGAAATGGTTAACTTAAAAACCGGTGTAATAGCTCACTAAGTTGTTTGCAGTAAGTTCAACGAAAGACTGTAAAGAAAGGCATCGACTGACCTCCAAGCTGACAAATCCTTGCGTTCGAATTCAAATAAAGTTAAATTCTGTCTAAGTATTATATATAATTATATCTTTGAATTGCTTTTCAATGATATACTCATTGATGTTGCGAACATTTTTGTTTATTTTCCAAAATCAATATGAAGGTATTTAAATATTTATTTCCAAATCTGTCTATAGCCTCTACCTGGCAGTCGAACCTACTGCAGACGATTACTCCAGCAAATGTTTAATGAAACTCCCATATGTATACTGAAAACATTCATTTAACCCACCACCATGGTCTTTATTTTGGTGAGGGTTAAGATTCGGAACAATAAAATAAACCAAGGTTGAGTTGTTTTAGTAATATTAGAGGGAAAAGAAGCTGATGATCGAGGAAAACAATGGAATATGGATGAGATAGAAAATTGTCTTTGTACCTATCGAAGAAACTGTACACCCCACTGGTTGAAGCATCTACCGTGTGTTCAAAAATTATGTGTATTCTTTCAACTTTTTCTCAATATTTTCAACATAAACTATAAAAATTTTTTTTTTTTGTTGAAAGTATTATCTTTCTGTTCCAAACTTTTTTATATTCCAAAATTAACATTCAACAAACTGTCATTAAGACTTCACAATATTGTAGAACTTGAGTAGACTATAGGTGAAAAGTAACTTATTTCATTTATTTCAGTCAATATACTCCTATGACTCGGTTCACCAGTTATACTCAGTAAGACATGATTTGAATTTTCATTGAAGGTTAAGTGGTGGTGTACAGATCTGTGATTCAGATGACAATGATATGATGGGAACCCTGCTATCACAAGAATCAAGGCACCACTGTCTACCACATTTCACCTGTTTGAAGGAGAAAAAATGAAGAAAGATGACGCTGGCGGTATTGGCAACGTCTGAGTATTTTGTTTTATTTCAGACAATCGGCGTGGTCTCGCCCCAACCTCGTTGCCCACCTCAACATCATCATCATCTCCATCTGGAATTTCACACACCACACTTATTACTATCAATTTTCTGTGCCAACATAGCTGCTAGAAGTTTATTTCGATATTGTTCCCAAAGAGGTACTGTTCAAGAAATTATTAACATTTAATTTATTTTGGATATTTGCTAACTGTGAACAAGAAATCAGTTGGTGGAAATTTGAAATTAATTCCAGTTGGTATAACAGATTAACAGTCGTGAAAAAAGTAAATAGTAGAATAGAATTCCACTGCCAAAGTCACAATACCGATTCATCCAAACTGAATTCTCACACAAATTCATCAACATTTAGGGAGACATATGTTGAATATTCAACAAGCTGTATTTATATAAATAATTTCTGAAAAGACAATTTCAGACTCAAATAATTATCATTATCATTCAATTATTGAAATTCCCCATCACCGATTACTTCCGCAGCTATGTCCCTTTCAATGGAGCCTACCTGTTTTTATATGAAAATATAAAGAAGGCACTGCCTTTTGGAATAGGGCGTGTTTTCTTTACTAGGGTAACCTCTGACAACCGACGAGGTCTGGCAGAATCTTTAGCTACAACCTCCACTTCATCATCATCAATTTCAAGATCTAGATCTTCCTCTGAAAATCATCGTTATTTGCTTGTCCTCAACTCATCGAAGTAAATCGAACCAAACCACGTTGTATCAAAGTTTTAAAGAACGTTTTTGTGTCCATTACTTACCCTCCAACTGTTCCTCATCGAATTCGCCTTCCATTACTATTTTTGTCTGTGATTCCACTTCGTCATCATGCCCTGATCTGAAACGAACACTTATTTTGAATACTTTTCAGTTATCAGTTTAGCGAAAGCAGACACTGGCAGTGCTAAAGCAAGGAATAATTCCTAAAATCTGGACAAGTGCATTCGAATTCAGAAACATAAATACAGATTAACTTCAGGATGAAACGTACCTTTCCGAGTACTGACCATCGTCAGTTTCTTCTTCCTCAATGCTATGTTCTTCCTCCCCTACTTCCTCCTCTTGAAGAGTGGGGCTTTTCGACTTTCTTTCACCTTCTTCCTCCTCTTTTTCAATGGCCGTTAGAGATTCAGCATCTGCTAGGTTATCGACAGCGATAGCCAAGAACACATTCAGTAGTATATCTGAACGTTGTCAAGGATATTCAGACGTAATAAAAAAAAATTAGGTTTGGAGAGCACGGATGATGTGGATGTTATTTTTCAGATAAGTTTAATAAAATGTACTATTTTCAAAGGATACAGTTACCACAGATGAAGAGAATGATGAAATATATACAAGAAAGTACACCGATTGATTCAACTCCACCGTAAGCTGCTATACCCTCATACATAACTGCGTTCCAGTCTTCACCAGTAAGTATCTTAAAATAATCATGATTGATGCGACATGACTATAAAATCATTATTGGTGTTTAAACTGAGATATCTTACCTGAAATACAGTCAACAGGCTCTGCCAAAAGCTATCAAAATTAGACCTAGTTTTATCTTCAGTCTCCTTATTGAATCTTCCACCAAACACTTGCATTCCGAGGAGTGCAAAAATAACAATGAACAAGAAAAGCAAGAGTAACAGAGACGCGATGGATTGTATAGAATTCAACAATGAAGCAACTAAATTCGATAACGATCGCCAATACCTGGAAACGAAATCGATTCAAAAAAGGCAAAACCAAAAGTAATCACATAACTTACTTAGTAACTTTAAATACTCTCAGTAATCTAACACAACGTAACACAGATATTCCCAAAGGTGGCATCACCTCCGTATTTGTTAAAATCATTTCGAGGATACTTCCAATAACAACAAAACAATCGAATCTATTAAACAACGATACAAAATATCCCTGAAAAAAAAAGCACAGAAATACAATTATTGAGCGAAATACTAATTGAATAAATTCCATTCAGTATCGTTTTTCGTTCAAAATTCGACGTTAACTTAATTTCATATAAGAAAGTTAACAAAGAACATAAAAAGGATGTGTTTCACAAAAATTGATGAAATGATTTTTAGAATCTTAAAACTAAAATTATCTCTTTTTCATTCACAGTAAATGTTTTCAATATAATAATTTGAAATGGGATGAAAATCGGTTTTCGATTAACGTATGTGTAGGTACGGGGTGTATTAACGTCAACTGAGTGGAAGATAATGCTTTCCTACTTGATTTAGAAAATATACCTCAAATCAAAGTTATAGTGAGTGATGAGAGATGTATTGAAAAAATGAACATCAATAATTAATGTTAATTAAATGTGTGATTCACAAAAATATTTTTTAATGAAATGCCTTATATTAGCGTTTCCCAAACTTTTTTGCCTGGGGACGCACCTTCGTTGTGGAATTTTTTTCGCGACCCACATATTAAATAATATTAGGTATAATCAGTTAACTAGTTTAGTGATAATATAATTTTTCTGAAGAAAGGGTTGGTTGGGTAACAGGATCGATTTTTTTTTTAAAGCAATTGTATTCTTGCCGACGTCTCAAATTTAATTAAATTCTTCTTCAGGGCTAGAAAAGTAGTTTTTTTGTGTTGATGATATTACTATTTTAAAAACTATCAGATATATTAGATACATACGATATGTTTCATGTCGTTTTGTGTTGATGTTGTCTCAAAAATTTGTTGTTGCAATGTTTTTTATTTTTTAAATATGTATCTAATATGTCTGATGGTTTTTAAAATAGTAATATAATCAACACGAAAAAAACTACTTTTCGAGTCCTGAAGAAAAATTTAATTAAATGCGAAATTTTGTCAAGAATACAATTGTTTTTTTAAGAAAAATTTGATCCTGTTACCCAACCAANCTGTTGTCTAAAAAGTAAAAGTTGACATTACTGACTATCATAGATATAATTTTTATATTTGTATTTGAATTTCCTGATATTGAATCTCTTCAATCTATCACAAATAGGGAAGCAGCTATATATATGTCCATAGACATATGTCCATAGACATATTGTTGATACATCGTGTATAAGGACCATTTTGTTCGCGTTTCGAAAATCTGTATTATATCTTCAGAACTTAAAAAAAAATTAAAAATATATCAAAAGGCAGAGATATTTATCATTATCATTCGCTTTCATATTATATATTATTTTAGCCATATTATAATCAGTGAAACTGGTGATTTTTTCACGGTGGGATTATATGATAATTTAAATTTAATATGAGAGATTTTCCAACTTGTATTTGAAAACATATATTTTCCGTTTTGAACCAAAGGAAAAACGAAACTGAACTCATGTAGAAACGAAGAAATACTCACTTGAAAACCTAGACTATACATCTTTAACAACATTTCCATCGTGAACAGAGCAATAAAAAACATATTTGTATATTCTGAAAAAAATAAGAAACTTGACAACTTGACAGAGCTAACAAAAAGTAAATGTAGAAGGAATTGTATTCGAAAGTAGTAAGCACAGTTGATGCCAAATAGCAGTTTTTCCGGGAAAACTTGTACTTAAATGGCGGAACAGTAACAATGCCTAACTTTAGAGAAAATTCCTACAATCATGTGGAATCAAAGAAATTAGATGGTAAACCACTATTTTCCAAAGTTTCATATTTATTAAGTAAAAATCACATGTTCGCTCATGTTTCAAAGGAAAGTCCGACGGTATACTGTATCTGATAGATAAGCCTAAAACCCTTTGAATATTACTGGAGTTCAATCCCAACATCAAACCTCGACACGTGTTTCAATCACCAAGTAAACATCTTCAAGAGGAAGATTGAACTAGTTTATTCTATTGAACTAGGTCAATCTTCCTCTAGTTTACTCTATTCAACTAGTTTAATCTTTCTCTTGAAGCTGGTCACTTGGCGACGAAGATTCAACTAGTTTAATCTTCCTCTTGAAGATGATCACTTGGTGATCAAAACACGTGTTGAGGGGTTGAAATCTTGGTTTGGTGTTGGGATAAAACTCCAGTAATATTTATTACTACACCAAAGGTTCCAAATAATGCATCACAAGTAAAACCCTATGATTTAAGGATATTCTCTGGTTACAGAATAATGAACAACAAGCAGTTGAAATTCTATGCTCTTCTTACTAATCACCAAACAAGATCTTTCACATTGAATTATAATATAAGTTCCAGAATGTCACAGTGACAGGTCTCTCATTAACTTGACTCAAGTTTTCGAATATGAGTGATGCAGACCGACCATTTCACGTTTGGATTAGCTGATAAAAGAAAATCAGATGTAAATACTCACTTTGCTTGTACAATTGATGTCTTGCTAACAAATAATCTCAACTCCTAAGAAATACAATTACCGACACGCTTCAATAATTGAGACCATATGCGAGTTATATAAATGAGTTGGTATTACCATCATAACGTTGACTGGGGTAATTTTCATCTATTTCTTTGAATATGTTCATGAGATAAAATAATTTTCTGATTCAATGAGTCTACCATCCAGCTGCAATAATCTCTGAAGTCAATCCACTTGTCATTTAGACCTAAAAGTATTTACCTCAAGGCCAAAGGGTGGAAGTGAACAGATCCTAGTTCGAAAAGACTGTACAAAATCGTCTTAAAGCAACAATCCTCTCGAAACTGACTCCAGATTTAATGTTTGGAAATTAAACACAATATACAGTGAGTTTCAAAAAGTTTGCACAATATGGGAAACTTTTTTATTATCCAATTGTCAGAAAATTTTATTCCTGATGAAAATTGGTGCATGTTCCAAAACTAACCAATTTTTATCAAAAATAAAATTTTCTGACAAATGAATAATGAAAAAGTTTCCCTCACATATGGTGCAAATTTACTGTATATCAAGCATCGAATATCAAGTAATTAGATCACATACAATATGCAGAAGAATCGAAATGTATAAGACCAAATATAATCACGTTCATTCTTGTCCTGGGACTAAAAACACAGTTTTTTCATCCCTTACAAAAAATGATTTCTACTACTTCTGAAAAAAAAATCAATAGCTTTCGCGCAGAAAATTCGCAGTAAAAGCATCCTCCATGGCTTCAAGGCAACAGGATAGCATTGCTATCGTAAGGTGTGATCAAACTGACAAAAGTTTTCTGTTCTGTTCTTTCCAAACAGGCTAGGTGTATTTCCTTACAATTTAAAAACATAATTCAACCATTAAAAAAATCGAAATGAACAACTTTCAAACATTATAAACCAATCGCGTTGCCCAACACGAAAATTTCCAGCTAATGTTACATACCAGTATATGTGAGTCAGCTCTAGCTAGGAATAAGGAGAATTTATTTTTTCAGTACTGCAATGGCTTCGAATATATCTAAAATATTCGAGTGTATGCCAGTCACCTACTTTTTTTGAAAATTCCTGGATTGTGCCGGTTGTCGTCCAACTTTTTTTGAATAGATCTTTGTATGAACTACTTCACATTCAGTGTGATGCTCTGCCAATACATAGCTTTTCCGATGATAGTAACTGGCCATGCTACAGATAACGCTTAGCGAGACCAGTCAGAGCAATTAACTAAACTCATCAACAGCATCCATTGATGGAAACCGAATGTATAAAAAACGAATTATACCCCCAATTCACAATATGTTCAGTAAAAATCTCACAATGAAGTGTTTCTTGAGTACATTATGTATTCTCAGCAAGTATCGGCCGATTCCATCACATAACCAAAGATGGAGCTCTCGTGATCCAATACTAGACAGCGCTATTTCGGTCCACTGTAGGTCTCAACAGAAAATGGCGATAACATCTCTCCTTACGAAGACGCCATTTATGGGCTTGACAAAAGAATCAGTTCACGAATATCAATGATAAACCACTCTTCCCAAAGCGGTCCGTTGAAAAGCCAATCTTCAGCATCGGCCACCGAACGCGATTCGTTCTCTGTATTTCTCTGCAGTTCTCACTGCAAAACAACTAGCAGAAACCAGAGCTCAAAACAAAGCACCCGATACCAGAACCACTGTTTCGATCCACCATAGGTCTCATTACTGGTGATAGGCTAAACTAAGAATGCGTTATTGTCCTTGAATGACAAGCCCAAGTGGATAATTACATCTCTTCTCACGAAGACATAATGTATGGGATCGACAGAAGACTCAATCAACAAATATCAGGATAAATAAGGATCCCTACGGCGCGGCGGTTCGGTGTAAAGTCAAGCTTTCCACTATCCTTCAAGCACCAGCTCGTTCAACTAGATCGACGCAGAACTGAACGTGCTCACCGTTGCGTTCTTAATTGCTTGATTTAACCAAACAACAGTCATCCTGAAAAGTAAAAGAAACATTTTTTTCTCCATCAGTTGCTGAAAAAATGTTTCCCACGCCATTTGATTAACTTTATAGAAAGATTTTTTCTCGCAGGTGTCAAGAAGTTACAAAATGTATCTGATAAGAGATGAACAACGTTCGAAATTCAACCCGTCGAACGTTGCAAGATTGAACTGTCCCAGGTTTTTGGTCATCAACTCTACTTCTCTCTCTCTGTACCCCATTTGAAAAGAATTGAAGGTGTTTACCTTGAAAATCATCTAGCCAATGTGGCTGCTCATAATGTTCTGTGGCCAAAACGCCCGTATTCAGGAATACTAAAATAATGATGAGCCAGTAAAATGACTGAGATTTTACAGCCTTTCGGCAAACTCTTCTTATCCTGCGGTTGACCCTCTCAAAATCTTTTTTCTTTCTTTTGATCCACGATTCCTGTTGGACTTCTTCCTCTCCTATATGGTCTGTGGACTCCATTTCGTTTTGGGTTACATTTCTATTGTCTTGGTTCTGATGGTCCTCCCCTTCGGGTTCAATGTCTTCAGCTTGAGTTATCCAATCTAAATAACCCCTCAAGTCTTCTTCCAGTTGTTGTTTTTCCCGAAGTTTGTGGAAATCACCCCGAGCTTTTGCTTTTTCTCTTTCCTTTGAAAACTCACTAGGATTTCAGAAGAATTAACATTTACATCTACTTTAATTTTTCAAGGAATATCTTCGGTCCAACAAACAGTATATAGGCAGCAGGGCTTCTAGATCAAAACCCCATGTATTTTCTTATGAAGGTTCATTCTGGC